AACAAACCAACAAACACGAAAACACCAGACATTATGATACAGACTTATAATTTGCACCGATGTTTTTTCGAAATTCTATACACGAAGCCCTCGGTGCGCCTGCTTGCTGCCGAAGTCAAAGTAAACTTTGTTGTCATCTCCGCTACATACAGTCCAGTATATATAGAGACGAGACGACAAAGCTCCAGTTATAGCAGTGCAAGTAAACAAACAATATATATAAGAAGAGTAAGAAAATAAATATACACTTTAGGACTCGGGGTAAAGGGATCAATAACAATTTAAAATTTACAGTTTGATGATTTAAAGTCTCATACATGAGCCGTCGAGGGGGGGGGGGCTGCTCCTTCCAAATAGAGCACATTTCATTTATAATGTTTTAAATCCAAGTCCATTATGTATTCATGATTTGAATCGGGTTGTGTGAAGAGGGAGTGTTCGCCCAGGGCGCCAAACAGGCTAGGAGCTTGAAGGAGAATTTACCTATCATGATTTTGACAGTGAGAGCAACCAGAGTTCCTACAGGAATCTCCTGTTGGCACGTGGAGAACATGCAGACTCCGCAGAGAAAGGCCTCTCTCTGGTTTGAATGTCTAACTTTTTGCAGTGATGCAATGGTCGTCAGTGATGCAGGCATTAGAAAGAAAAGCAGCGTACAGACAACTTTCCCTCAGCAGAAAAGCTATGAATGCTCCAACAGTAGCTCACACTGCATGTTAACATACAATAGAACAAAGGGCAAGGAGGAGAATATTAGTTTATATTTGAACAGCGTGTTTCACTGCAAAAAGATCAAACACTAATTCAGTCAAACCAAACGCGTGTGTTGACGTCAGTATTACTCTATTCTAGATCCTCTGATTTATTCACAGCATTGTAGCAACTTTTCATATTCAAAGCACTGATCAGATATGCACAAGAAGATAATTTAAGTTGACTGTATCTTCTCTTTGATGTTGTGTGTAGTTCAGTTACAGTCTAGACCTTTTATCCTCCTTATATAATCCACCCCAGGTCTGCACCATCACAGCACATTTACAGGCCTGAGGCAAAAGTAAATATATGAGCCCTCTTTATACACATATCTTACCGCAGTCATAATTGAAGCTACAGGGTACTGAATGGATTGAGGAGCAAACTGAAGAGCCAGAAAGCTGCAGTCTGATCTGCATGGGTATGCATTGAGATTTTGATTGGAAGTTTCCAGCTGTTAAGGAGGGGAAAACTTTTTTCTTTTTCATTATTTATGGTATGTTTACTTGTGTGAGCTAATGGAAAAGTGTACTAAGAGGAATTTCTGTTTCTTATTCATTCTAAAGTGAATCCAAGCCTAGTGAAGACTTTGCTCATCTCCTGTAGGGTCATTCTGATGCAAAATTACAAGCTTCTGTAACATCTTCATGTCAGAGCGGAAAAAAGCATATGCATATTAAGTAAATTCAGCGGTTTGCTACATTTTGCTTGTCATGTGTTATCACTAACACCAGCACCTGTGCTTTTCCTGCTATGACAACTGAAAATGTCTGCTGTGAAAAAGGCCAGTGTGCCATCCCTCTGAAGTTGCCCTATGCTATCTGGCAACAAGATGTTAGCAACAGATCATTTAAGTCCTTCAAGTTGTGAGACGGGGGTTCCTCTGAACATATTTTTTATCTAGCAGATCCACCAACACCTTGTTGTTGGTCAGCAGTCACTGTTGCTGACCAGAAAACCCCTGCAAACCTCTGTGATTTGGAAATGATCCAAGCCAGTCATCAAAACCTTCATCATGTGGTCTTTCCAAAAGTTGGTCCACGTAAATCCCAAATCTTAGCATCATCCCTTTTATCCGTGAGTGGATATAATGTCTTGGCCCATTGGTGTATATTATGAAACATGTAGGGGTATAAATCTGATACATACTGTCACTAAAAGATAGTAGATTGTACCTGACGTCCACCCTGGTCTCTGTCTGTGAGGTAATTTTCCGCTCTATTGTTTTTAGTTGTGCAGTGTTGCATTTTCTTGTCAGCCTTTTTCCAGGAGCTCTTCTTGGAGTGAATCAATTCTCTGCGGCAATACCATCTAACCTATAATTCTTATCCTCGCTAGAAACAAAATGTTGGAACGGCAGCACATGAAATGAGGGAAGGCAAAGCTACAGCGGGAGTTTTTTTGCGTATTTGTCAGTCACCGTGTTGTCGAATAAATCACAATCCATTTGGGAAATGACTTTTAAAGTTTAAAAAAAGTGTACATTAAAGCTTCATTTGCATTTGAAAGCCTCTCACCTTGAATCATTAAAGGAGTAAGACAACCTTTGGCAAATGTGTGCTTTGCATTCCCTGATTCAAACTGTTACTTTTGGGAGTGCTGTCTAATTTGTTTTTGTTTGTTTTCTTTCCTTCTGGAAAAATATATTTTGTGACAAAAAATGCATTTCTTCCACTTCAGAGATATTATTTTTTTCTCTACCAACCTTCCAAATCTTTTCATTTTCTAGGTTATAATTTCCCTGCACAGGAATGAATACTAAAAGCTATTTCAGAAGCAACAGCTGCCTCCCAGATACACAGAATATACTGTGACTATGCACTAATGTGGCATGAAAAGAAGAGAGAATGAATTTTATTACCTTGACATGTGACACCACTGATTTCAGCTGTGCATGAAGAAAACAAAAAAGGCAATGTTTGAACCCACAGTACTGTGCAAATATCTTGAGCCACCCCACATTTCTTTATATTTTACTTTCAAAGGTACTTTCTTTTAATTTTTTAGTTTCTTACAGGACAGCTCTTTAGACTTTTTTTTTCTCATTTGGACCGCTTTTCACTGATTTTCAGTCCAGTCCTTGAACCTGACCTGTAGGAGTCATTTTTTGTGTTGTTACCTCATGTGTGCCACCAGGGGTCACCTTTTGTAGAAACATGTAATTAGCGCCAGGTGTTGTTGGTCGAAAGAAGCAAACAGTTTGTGACCGCTGCGTTGTTGTGATAAATGACGTTGGATAAAGAGAACTGTTCAACAACTACTGATGGAAGTGCATTAAAGATGGGACAAGACAAAATAAGTATACGGCTGGAGTTACTGGACTGAAGTTTCATGCATAACATTGGCATCGCGTCACCAACGAACACCTCAGTGGCTTCAAATGTAGGTTTAGCCTCTACATGGCCGTTATTAGAGGAATTTTTTTTTTTTTTTTTTGGTTGTTAAGCCAAAAAAACCAAACAATTGAGTCATTCAAGCATGAAAAAACGTGCCTACTGCAACTCTATTAAGTGGGGTCTATGAAAAATCCCAGAGATAAGAGAGAATAGCGTTTTTGCACCAACATGGTGATTGCCAAATAGAACAAAAGAAGAAATAGCAAACCTAAAATAATATCTACAGCAGATGAGCAGTATCTGAAAGTCGTGTCCTTAATAAATATGAAGAAATCCAGTAAAGACATGAAACAGGACCCAATGGATACATCTGGCCCTTCTACTGTTTACTGAAGTCTAATTTGGCTACGTTTTTGGTTTTGGTTATTCACTCCACTTGGGCACATTCTACGTGTCACTTACTGTTTACTTTTTGTGCAATGGGTATGACAGAAAGAGGAGTGCTAACATGCTAAATAATGAACTTGAACTTTCAGAGTTCTTCAAACAAGAGCTTTCAAGAAGTGAAGTGTTTTCAGGGTAACAAGCAAGAAAAAGTGTTCTATAGTGTTTTAAATTGGTGCTTTGCATACGGAATAAACATGTGTAGTCAAAGACTGTAGACCTTCACTTTGTGACTCAGGGAGACAAGAAGCCATTTTTAAGATAAGATAGATGAGATAAAATACCCTTTATTAGTCCAACAGGTAGGAAAATTCACATTATTAAAAAAGCAAAGTGGACGTGGCAGAAATAAATAGATGCAGCACAACTGATAATGCTATACGGAAGCAATAAAAGAAAATGTAAACAATATAAGGTGGAAGAAGATTAGATGCCTAGCAGCAAACCAGGATACTTCATAGTGGCATAGCAGGCATTGAGTGTTGAACTTTGAAATATGTACAGACCACAGAGTGTGCATGTGTGTGTTCATAGAAGGGATGACAGTTTAACCACCATACTTCCATCTGGTCAGGAGGGTGTCCCAAAACAGAGCTGGTCTTCTTGAACAGCCTGTTCAGTTTTTATTATCCCCAGAAGACATACTGCTGCCCCAGCAGACCATACACACACAAAAAAGATGTCAGATTCCACCACTGAGTCATAGGAGGAGTTCAGGAACTCTTCTTGCAATCCAAAAGACCTAAGTCTCTGTAGCAGATACTGCCTGCTCTGTCCTTTCCAAGATTGCATTTCTCTTGTTAGTCCGGTCCAATTTATTAGTCAGTTGAACACCCAGGTACGTATATGAGTCCATCATCTCAATCTCCACGGAGATTAAGAGGGAGAAACAGGGAGAAAAGGCTTTGCTATGCCATTTTACGTAAGAACTAAATTGAAAGTCAGTGGCAACAGGTCTTACGGAGTAATCCAAACCTGAATTTTTTTAACTGAAATTGTTGTCAACATGTACGGAGGAGGTCAGGAGAGAGGCACAACAATGAGTGTCTACATCCATGTAAAAGGATAAAGGTGACCAAATATTCACTTTAAAGCTTGTTAGAATTGTACAAACTGTGTTTTGCCTTGAATTCTGTAATTCCATGTATGTTTTGTACATGACTAAATAAATCACTGCAGCTGTTTTCCTGGCAAAATTTTAAGAAAGGCTCAAGTAAACAGGAGTCTCAAGATTTTTGCACAATACTGTACATGAGCTTTTTTTGTCTTTTAATGTCTGAAAGTTTTATAATTATTTCCTGATTTAGTCAAATGAAACAATGCTGCAGTTAAATTTTAGTTCAGACTCTGTGTATGATAGCATACACAAAGTATCAAGACACTGGTGGCTCAAATAGATTTCACATGCACTGATGTGATAAATGTTTGCCTTTCTTTGGACAACCCTTGATTGTGCATCACTTTCAGTTTGTTTTGCAGTATGGAAGAACCGTCACATGCGCACCGTGACAAACTATTTCATAGTGAATCTTTCCCTGGCTGATGTGCTGGTCACCATCATCTGCCTGCCTGCGAGTCTTGTGGTGGACATCACAGAGACGTGGTTCTTTGGAAACACTCTGTGCAAAATTGTCCCTTATCTGCAGGTAAGCCTTGAACCCTGACATCTGCTTTTCAAACAGGATATTGGAATCTTTGACCTTTTCAGAAACAATTCACAAGGTCTGTGGATGCAAGCCAAGACCCATATTTCTATTATTCTACCATTTTTCTTCATGGTATTCATGAGGGTAAAAAAAAACAAAACTCTTTTTCATATCCCCCAGGATGTGCACTGAGTGAGACCTTTGATGTTACTCTAAAGTGATTTAATGCCTCAGGCAACACTGTTTTAGCACCACTCTGGCAATATGTATGCAAAAAAGACAATCTTATTTAATATTGTTGATCACAATGATATGTATCGAAAGCATGTACCAAAGTCCCAAACTACTCTGCACAGATTATATGTCTCATACTCTTAACAGACTGTGTTATATTATATTGTTTATGCACAGCAAAGTCAATTCTAGCCTCATGGTGGCACGGCTTTGACTATATGTTCTGCAGGGATGCAGCTGTAAAGCAAAGAAATTCTAACATAATGTGAATTCTTGTGTGTCAGGAGCTAGTTTAGCAAACATGCTGCACCTCATGGCTTTTAATTAGCAATCTCTTTGAAGGTTTTCATAGTGACATTCACCCCGTTTACTGTTGAGCTTTGTATCATAAACTGGCGCTGCAGTATTTGCTTGAGGGCCATCTCCCGCTGCTTTCTTTTTAAATCCAGGAGCATCAACTCTAATTCCCCTTTGGTGATTCATTTTATGTAACATTTTGGTATGATTCCTATTCTACTGTTCTACATTGTATGCTGGTGGTCTATAATACCTTGAATAGGTTCACAGCAGGGTGCAACAGAAGCCAAATGCAGCACATTGTATAATATTTTAAAAAGGGGGTCCATATTTCAGCTTGCAGCTGGTGTCCGGATTAAACCCATCCATGATTCCCCAGTGTAATGTGCAAGCAAGTGAAAAATGATCATTGCAATTTACAATGAGCAGTGTGGTGGAAATGCTGTTTTGGCCTAAATGCAGCAGGTTGTTTTGTGTGTGTGGGAACGTCTTTTTAAAATATACATTTCAAAGCATTTAAATGTCACAGACGGTTCCTGTTGTCTTGCAAACAATGATTCACTTCCCTCAAGGTTTCTCTCACTGGTTTCAGTGTTTACATATGTTTCATATTCAGCATACTTAACCTGTAACCATCCAGGATGCATCCAAACTCAAAAACATCCAAACTCAATGAACAATTGACTTTCTGTCAGTTGAAGGGCAATGAGGATGTGCCCTGCTCTGCCTAAGGTGCAATCTTTCCTTTCTTTTTTAAGATCGTTTAAATGAACATTTTAAATTAGGCAGCGAGATTTATTTTAATGTGCCTGGCATCATAAGCTAACCCTTTACAAAAACAAGGAATCTCCGCCTTTTATTTCCAAGAAAAATTGACCACCCACTGCTTTTAAACCTGCACGTGAAATTTGTGCCGCTGCTCTGAAGTGAACAGACTCATCTGCAACACAGAGATAAGAGCATCTCCAGCATAGGTGGTGTCCCATGCATCAGTGTTTGCCAATCTATGATTCAAGTCTACAAATGTATGTTCTGAAATTATTTTCCTCATGAGCATTTAGTATTTTCTGTAACAACTGCAAACTGTATCAATATTAAATGGTGAACATCTTTGTGTATCTAGTTAAAAGTTTTATTTCATTCTTCGCAGACCATCTCTGTTTCTGTATCAGTCCTAACGCTGAGCTGCATCGCCCAGGACCGTTGGTATGCGATCTGTCACCCACTGTTGTTCAAGAGTACAGCCAAGAGGGCGCGCAAGAGTATTGTTGTCATCTGGGTTGTGTCGTGTATCATCATGATCCCCCAGGCCACCGTGATGGAGTGTAGCAGCCTGCTGCCTGAACTCACAAATAAGACCAGTCTGTTCACGGTGTGTGATGAGCACTGGGGAGGTTAGTTTTCACAGTTCACAAACTAAATGAACGCATTATGAAAATATATGTCTCCCTCGCTGCTAGAAGCACAGTTTCAACTTTAACTGAATGACTCACTAAATTACTTAAACAACAACTGCAGTGACATTTATTGGGCTTTTCCACCCCCCGTATAGATGGGTTGATCACGTGTCATACCACTTTTTATCCATAAAGTGTGAGCACCTAAGCGGGATGGGTGGATTTTGCTTTGCTCAGATGAAGTCGCTCAGGGTGCCTCTGTGATTGAAGAAGTCAAAAGAGGAAAACCTTACAAAGAGAGGAAGCTTTCCATCTACTCACATTCATTATATTACAGTAATGATGGGTACCTTTAATGACTACCTTTGAAACGTAGATTGCTTTCTTTAATAAGCTTGCAGTCATCATTGAAAGCGTGCAGTGCAAGACTGACAGGCAGAGCAGTAATAAGAGGAAAATTGTGTTTTTTGTTACATAAAGTAAACCAAAATGTCAGAAGTTGATGAGAGGTAAATGAATCAGTAATGACTAGATATTTAAATGGCTGTCAGTCAGTATCTCATGAATGACTCTGATCGAAGAACTATACAAGGACGGAACACAAAGTTCAGAGACTCCGCCCATGAAAACAATCAACAGCCTTATCAAATTTGCATTTGGCCTAACTCACCTCTAATTTCGTCGCCTTCAGCAGCACTCCAACAACCTTTCACAGATGCTGTTTTTTCTTGAAACGTTTGTGCAAAACTTGATTTCCTGTAGCATGTCGACACGGCAACCCCTCAACTTCATTTTCATTCTAAAAAGTTATCAAAGTAGTTAAAAAACAAGATAAAATGATAAATATGACTGAGGAATTCTTCCATGTGCTGATGCAAGATGGCAGGATGACACAGTGGTATGCACCACAGTTCAGGTTGTCTGATATTGTGGCATGAATTCACAGTGCTCTGTCAACAGAAGAATAATTATGAGCAAGAAGTTGAACCCCTTACTTATTGTGCCACCTTTGGGTTTGGACGCTGAAGATTCTTGTTTTGAAAGCAGCTATTTGGCTGACTAAGAGGCAGGTCTGCTTGGCAAAAAAGTGGATGTTTGCTGGATGTCTGCACTGGCAAATGGCCCCAAGGTGAAAGTTGTCAGGCTTTTCAGGAAACAAAAATACCAGCCACATGGTAAACTGGGGGAAACTTAAAGGGGAAACTGACTATATTTGTGGAATCTCCTGAATTTGGAATTTTATGAGTAGTGTTGCAGAAAGTATATAAAAAAAGCATTAAACTTTACCCGCTCTCAATCATTAAGTCATTAGTTTGTGCCACTCAGCAGAAGGTTCAGTTAATAATAAGCCGCTTATGAAAAAGTGGTCAGTGGACGTGTTTGTTCTCTAGACGCTCATCATTATCTGCTTTTTAGTCTTTAACTACTAAGTAACTACTCATGTTTTCTCTACAATATTGTTAAGTGTTTCCTTTTAAATCCTTCAACAGCTGAGATCTACCCAAAGGTGTACCACACCTGTTTCTTCATTGTCACATACTTCGCACCACTGTGTCTCATGGTCTTGGCATACATTCAGATTTGTCACAAGCTGTGGTGTCAACAGGTGCGTATTCTGCCATTTGCTATAAATATAAATTTCCCAATGGGCTTCCAGGGTCTGATGTGCGCGTGTATCCACTTTAATGTATTCATTCAACAGATTCCTGGAAGCACATCAGTGCTGCAGAGGAAGTGGAAGTCTATCAAATGCTCAGCTCCAACTCCAGGACCGGGGGAGTCGGTGAGGGTTAGAACCAGCACGGTTTGTGCTGAGATCAAACAAGTCAGAGCCCGGAGGAAGACAGCTCGCATGCTGATGGTGGTGCTCTTTGTTTTCGCCCTGTGCTACCTGCCAATCAGTGTGCTCAATGTCATGAAAAGGTAATAATCTCTCAAGGAAGCTCTGCTGCATCCCGGATCTACAGTAGAGCTTACTATAAGCCATATTTTGTATAGTTTTTCCCCCTGACAGGTTTGTGATTAAAATGCATGCAAAAAGAAAAGAATGAATAAAATGATATCATTTTTTTACCTCCAGAGTCTTTGGGACATTTAAGAAGACAAACGACAGAGAGACAGTGTATGCGTGGTTTACTTTCTCACACTGGCTCATATATGCCAACAGTGCTGCAAATCCAATCATCTACAATTTCCTAAGTGGTAAGTTTTGAACTCTCCTCTAAGGATTCATTACTGCCCTCTAGTGAACAAACTGGCAACAACAACACAATTCACAGCTTTATCTGCTAATAACCTGAAAACAGAAGTTAATTCTGAGAAAGCAGCAAGTTTTTAATTCATGCATTTATGAAAAAAAAGCTCTTAGAATGATTTTACAAAAAAATTTAAGCTATTTTTAATGCAAGCTTGTAGATGGTTTTTAAAGAAGGTGGACTTTATAAAGATTTTGTTGTCGTTTTTTTCTTAAGGGAAGTTCCGCGAGGAGTTCAAATCAGCCTTTTCTTGTCATTGTTGTGGCCAGCATGAAAATGAAACGAGGAGGATAAGGACCAGAACGCGTACAGACAGTCGAAAATCCCTCTCCACTCAAGTTCACAATGTGGACAATGTGTCACGCATATCAGATCAGATGGTGTAGTCGTCTTATATTCCAGCTGGGGCACCTGAAGGACACGTTGATCTTTAAGTTAGACATGTGATAATGTGCAGATCTCATTATTTTTGGATGACATTTAAAGGGAAAAGAATTGTATTTAATGTTTTCTGTTTGGTTGATTTGAAAAGGACAGACTTTCTCTCTTCTGTTATGCAAGAAAATGTTGATTAATTATGAAAGACACGGTTTGTAATGTTCAGTGTTTTATATCTCTCTTTCATGTGTAGTTTCTGTAAATTTTGTATGCATTTTTGTTTTGGTTTGTCTAATTACATCTAATTAAGTAGTAGCATCACCTTTGATATAACTGGTTTAAGGGATTTGAAGCTTTAAAGGTGCAGTCGGTCACATGTTCATCTCAAGTCCTCAGTGTAAATGCCCAGAAATGTATGTTCCTGTGCACTGAGTATGTTAATGAAGCCAGCTCAATTCATCAAAGTACAGAATATTCAATGTGACCCCTGCATGAACGGGACCGCAATGTGAAGCCTGTTTCTTTCATTTGAAACACTCCAGGTTTGTGTTTGGATAGCATCAGCAAAGCGGACATTTTCCAGCAAAATATACGTTACAAAATAATCATTGTGGTTGAATTTTTCGGCTGTGGGTAAGAGCTGCTCACAGTCACTTTTACAGGCGACTCTATGGTGGGTTGTTTTTTATACTGATGCTAAATGTAAAAACAAGAAACATGTCCTGGATGTGCTTTCCATTTTCTTTTGTGGCAGTAGTCTGCAAGCATGTATGAATAATAACTGTGTTGCCCACATATTTTGCTGATTATCTGTTATTACTTAATTATCTGCTGTTTTAAGTTATTACTGGGTCAGAAAAAAGTGAATTATGGCAAGACTTGAAACTGTTTGCACAGATGAAAAAACTATCACTGCGTCAGTGGGTCCTCAACTTCCTCACAGACAAACCCCAATCAGTGAGGGTGGGAAAACAAGTCTCCCCCTCCATCTCACTCAGCACTGGAGCATCTCAGGGCTGTGTTTTAAGCCCCCTGCTGTACTCACTGTACACTTATGACTGTGTAGCCACATCAGACACCACCAACATTGTCAAGTTTGCTGACGACACTGTTGTTGTGGGCCTGATCTCCGACAACATCGAGACGGCCTACCTGGAGGAGATTAGGAACCTGGAGACCTGGTGCCAGGAGAATAACCTCCTCCTAAACGTCAGCAAGACTAAGGAGTTGATCGTTGACTTCACTACAAAGCAGGCGAGGAATTACAAGCCCCTCATCATCAGTGGCACGCCAGTGGAGAGAGTGGACAGTTTCCGATACCTGGGTGTCCACATCACTCAGGACCTGTCATGGTCTTGTCACATCAATACCCTGGTTAAGAAAGCCCGTCAGCATCTCTTCTTCCTCAGAAGACTTAGAGACTTCCATCTGCCACTGAAGGTGCTCAAGAACTTCTACTCCTGCACCATCGAGAGCATCCTTTTTTTTTTTTTTTTTTTTTTTTTGGCCTGTCCCGTTTGGCTCTTTTGCCATCAGAATTGTTGTCTAAAGGCAAAGAAAGATGCCCAACGAATTTACTTTACCAAACTGACCATCCCAGCCTTGCCGTAATGGTCCATTTGATTCACCTTTTATTGTTTATTTTATTTTCACTTACTGAATACGGGACAGACTTGACTGGGGGAAAGAAGGGGAGAAAGAAAGAGGGAAAGAGAAACAGCTGAGAAGAGGGACGGGGGAGAAGGGCAAAAGACAAAAACCAACAGAACGGGCAGAGAAAAAAAATGCATATATCAATCACCTGGATCACCTGCTGAGAAAGAAAAAAGAAAGCAAGCAGAAGAGAACAAGAGTAATAGAATAAACAACATCACAATGATATATGGGAATATGACAGTAAATACTAAATGTTAAACATTATTGTGCAGCACATAAGATCAACAGAACACAGTGTGCTTTGAGGTAGGAGCCAAAAAGGGTGTAGTTTGTGGGTGTGATCACCCGTGTGAGCACCTGTGAGCATGGACGCGCTTGTTTTTTGTTTTTTTAAAAGGTTCCTTCATGTAATAATCTGCTAGAGGGTGTGGGGGGGCCACAGCCCCGTCCTCCAGGGTGTGAAGCAGGTGTGGAGGAGATCAAAACTCCAGACATCCAGAGGCCCCCAGAACACAAGAGACCAAGGAAGACCAACAGAGGGGCAGCTGCGCCACTGTCCCGGAAAGAGCTGAGGAGAGTCCCAGATGAGGGCTCACTCAGAAGCCGCGGAGCAGAAGCCAGGGGGAGTTGCAGTGACGCGCCCGTGAGCTCCGCCGGCAGCCAGCTGCGCCTGAGTGACCGAGCCCCAGGCCGAGAGGCCGGGGGCACCCCACCTCCGAAGTGGCCCGAGCGAGCCCCAGGCTCCAGGCCCCGATAAGCGGCCGCCAAGGAGTGAGCCGGTGTGTACCTGGACGCCCATCCCCGGACACAAAGAACCACCAACGCACCGATGTCTGAGGGGGTCCGCCACCGGCAGGGGAAGTGGTGGTAGGGGGAGATAGGCCTCCAAACCTTGGAGGGCCTGAGATGTCCCCAGAGAGGTGGCGCCTGACACCCAACCTGACATATAGACACAGACATACAGGCACACACATATACAAACATCCATTCCCACCCTCATGCTCTCATATGCACTTACTCCACACTCAACCAACATGGAGACAGACGTAAAGAGACGTTGTACACACGATCACACTCCCCAAGCGTACTCTACAAACCGGGTCTAGGTGCCCTTGCCCCTGGAGGGGGGAACTGCACCCAGACCCAGGTGGTGTTTCCCTTTTCCCTGCGGTGGGGGGAGGCAGACCGCCCCGACTCCGCAGCAGCAGGAAGGCTCCACACTCCAGACCGCAGTCGGACGGCCAACTCCTCCTCCTAGCCCCCCTGCTCCAGCAGGTCGCAGAGAACGGGGGTGAGAGAAGACTCCGAACCTCCCTCCACCCGCTCATTGTAATGTTGATGCATGTGTGTTCTAAGGTGCATTTAAAACCCAGGAGGGCATGGAGCTACCTGCCAGAGAGCAGCAGGTAAGCGCATGGTCCCTCCTGCTAGCCCTCAATGTCTACGTGTATTCAAAATTGAGAGGTGGGCAACGATGCCAGGGGTGGGGTGTACACCCTGATGGTACTTTGGACTCCGTGTATCGTGCCCACCCCCAAGATCCTATATGTATGTGTAATGAGAGTGTGAGTAATGTGAATGTCTAAGTTGTGGGATAAAATTGAGGCAGAGGCAGCCAGAAGGGGACAGAGGGGGGGTAGCCTCCTCTGCACCCTGGTGACATACCCCTACTCCAAGGCCCTGCATGTGTGGGTGGTTGTGGTGGAGCGGGAAGAGGGAGGCAGCTGGAGATGGGGAGGGAAGGAAGGGAGGGGCAAGTGACCCCTCCCTGGGGCCAGCTCCCCCGCTGACCCCAGTAGGCACCCCCATACTCCGCGACCCGCCAGGGAAAGGGGGCCCAGGCCCATCCAGACCGGGCCCAGTGCAGCAGCGCCGCCCGGCCCCACAGAGCCCGGGACAGTCCACCCAACCCCACCACAGAGAAAACTGCACCCACCCCACCATCCACTCATCTTCCAGACTACATAAGACAATAAACACCCAGGCTGAGATCTTCCTCCACCTCTCCTGTATCTCCCCCTCCTGCAGAGGGAGCTCCTGAGGAGAGGAAAGCTCCTGCAAGATGTGACAATCTCCCCCACCAGTTGAAGAGCCCCCCAGGTGGCTCGACGCACCGGCGGCACCCTGCTCCAGGGCTGGGCCCCCATGCACCCACCCGCCCACAACCCCGGCAACACACCAACCAGGACCCAAGCCCCCGAGGCCCAGTCCGGGTCCCAGCCCAGAGACGGAGCGCCCCCAGAACCTCACGCCCATCCCGGACCCACCCAGGGCCAGCCAGGCTACCAGGTCAGTAACCCACGTCCGTCAGCACAGACCCTCCCCTAGCCCCGCTGCACGCAGCCGCGAGGAAACAGTCACCGGAGAGCCAATAGAGCCCCTAACCGGACATGACCGCTACCCCGGGTTGAGCCCCCCAAGGAAGATGCCTCCGGGGAACCCCCCGACGCCCTAAGCCTGTCCCTACCCCCACACCAATCACAACAGTGAAGGCGGGACCAAACTATGACCCCCCACCCCCACTAGGTGATGGAGCTGATCAAAGGAGCCCAGAGCAATTGATCTGATGTGGTGGCAGAGGCTGTATCAAGACTAATGTAATCTAATAGATAATTTCTATATTGGTTAGAATTAAGATTATTTTTATTTTTCCAGTTCATGAGGACTGTTTTCTTGGCTATGCATAGGGCAGTGAAAACCATATGGGCGATATTCTTTTCTGAAGTGACATTATCTAAGCTGCCCAACAAACACACTAAGGGGGAAGTTGGAATGTTACATTTCAGACACTTCGATAAGTCTTCACATATCTCGCGCCAAAACTTCTGAACTGGTGGACAGAACCAAAGAGCGTGGATATAATTGTCCGGTGAATTGGTTTGGCAGTGTGAGCAGTTGTTGGTAGACGTAAAGCCCATCTTGAACATCCGATGACCTGTATAGTGCACTCTATGTAATATTTTGTATTGAATTAATTGAAGACTGGGATTTCTAATTAGATGAAAGGTTTTTAAGCAAATCTGAGACCAGAAGTTTAGGTCTAAGTTAACTGATAAATCCGCTTCCCATTTTGCAATAGGAAGTGATATTGATTCATCTGTTTTAGAAAGCATTCTGTATATTTTGGATAGTAATTTGGGGGGTTTAAGAGTAAGAAATTGAACCACACTTGGTGGTGTTTGTAGTTCAACTTGACCCGGTTTAAATTTCTTTTTTACTATGGATTTAATTTGTTGATATTCTAAAAATCTTTTCTTGTTGATCCCATATTGTGTAACTAGTCCGTCAAATGAAATAAATTCTGTTCCTTCTAGTATATGTTCTAAATATTTGATTCCTTTATCACTCCAATCTGAAAAGTTTATCATATTATTGTTTTGTAATATGTCAGGGTTGTTCCAGATAGGTGTACGTTTGCATGGGATTAATGAAGACGCCGTCAATTTTAGAAACTCCCACCATGCTGTCAGAGAAGAGCTGATGTTGATGCTTTTAAAGCATTCATGTCGTTGGATGTTTGAGCTGATAAATGGTAGGTCTGAGATCTCTAGATTATTGCAGAGTGCTTGTTCTACATCTAGCCAAGGTTCATCTAAGGGGGTGTGTTTTAGCCATCCTGAGATAAACTGAAGCCTGTTGGCTAAGAAGTAGTGCTGAAAGTTAGGCAGTTCTAGTCCTCCTTTATCCTTGGTCTTTTGTAGTGTTTTTAAGCTTATACGTGGGGGTTTATTTTTCCAAAGGAATTTGGACATACATGAATCTAGAGATCTGAACCAATCTTGTGGCGGTTTAGTTGGGATCATTGAGAATAAATAATTTATTTTTGGTAAGACCATCATTTTTATAGCAGCAACCCTTCCCATGAGTGATATGGGTAGACATTTCCATCTAGCCAGATCATCTTCTACCTTCTTTAAAAGTGGGATATGGTTTAATTTAGTTAGATCTGCAAGCTTGGGAGAAACATTAATACCTAAATATTTTATATTTCCCGATTGCAGTGGTGTAGAAGAGGAATTATGGAAGGAGCAATTAATCGGTAGGACTGTAGATTTTGACCAGTTAATTGAGTAATCTGATATTCTTGCAAAAGAGTTTATCAATTCAATCACCC